GGCATGTGGCTGATCACCCCCACAAAATTTGATTACAGAAGCCTCAACAGAGGCATTAGGTGGAAGATGATATCAGGTAGATAATACACATTCCTCACACATGATAGCACCACCCTCAAAATGATCATTTCTTCATTACATTTTTTTTTATTGTATCTAGAATTCTCAAAATGTGTGTGTGATCAGATGTTGTTTATGCATTTCCAGAGTTTTCATCCGATTTTGATGAAATTTTTTGTTTGATAGATAGTTCTTCAATGCTGGTTTCGAGTCCAAATTATTGGCGACGATGGCTCTCCACTACCTCCTGTCCATTATAACTCTCAGCAACGTTTTACTATGTTCTTGGATATATATCGTTCATAAAAACTTTAAAATAAATAGTTTAAATTATTACAATAATATTATCTATTATTATACAGTTCCCTTTTCAGGGACTCCCCCCCCCTACAAATTGTTACCCTGTGGAGAAAACAGGAATCTTATCTCCCTCCAGCTAAGAGTTAAAGAGCAGAATAGACAGGCTCTCTAACCTTAAATGGCAACCAATCTAAAAAACTGAATTCCAAACTATATCTGTCCATATTTCCGAGATGGGATATTGCAATTATTTACATTGTAAAGACTTGTCTGCATCTTTGTCATATTCACAACATTTTGGCTGTTGTATGCTTCACCCTTCAGGAGATTGGAATTTCAAAGTGAATCCTTTATTTCATCCACCGAGGTAGATTGTTCTAGTTCCACGTGCCTTGCCTCTTCCGGGTGTCTTATCTTCCTTTAACTCAATTCTATAAGTTTTTGTTCACCCCTGCAATAAACTTAAGTCTTTGGGTCAAATCAAAACATGACCCAATGGATAAAAGCAGATCCAGTGACTTGATCCAAAGAGTACAACGGTCGAAACGTAACTATGGCAAGAAGGATGAGGACAACAGTGAACAATGTAAATGAATTCCAAACTGTTGAAAAAGCAATGGGAAACCACTCCTCCATCTCAAGAATGTTTCTTTGGGTATTATTCAGAAATAATAATAGAATCGGGAGAGTCATGATCGCCTACATCCTGAATAGACATGACAAAAGTAAGAAACGCCATGAATGCTAACATCCCCACCCACCACACTTCAAAATTAAGAATTTCAATCAATTTGTAATTACAATCGAATAAGATCAAAATTTGTGCTCGAATTTTTATTGGACAAACTGAAACAAGAGAAAATAAAATAAATAAATAAAATAATTTAAAATTATAACCACTTGTCCCATCAATTAAGCGACATCTTAATATTTAAAATAAAACACGGAAGTAAGATTTAAGAGAACGTAAAAAGTTTCCTAATACTGGATAATTAGTCGTAAGTTTTCCTAATGAGAAGAGAGAAAAAAAAAGTGATTAAAAAAAACAGTTCTTGACACCCCCCACACCCAGTTATTGACAAGTAGAAGCAAAATAATTCGAGTTCTTGCATATGAATATGTGCCTTGTCCCATCAAGGAGAGTACTATCATCAGGGCTCGCCACAGCTGTGTTGGTAACTATCAGCAACACTTTAGTTTTGACTCCTTCCTAATTATGGTACTTAACATTGCGATTTTTAATAATATTCCCAGGCATCTTAATCGAGAATTATTGTGGATGTGATATTTTTTATTTTAACGTTCGAGGCATTTTTGTTTTCGCATACTACCGAGCAACTAGCTGTGTCCTTAGAATTTTTGCTTGTTTGCATTTAGAGAAGATTCAAAATTTGCGTCTCAAATGCAATATAATTTCTTACCTTTCTATTTTTGTTCTACTTATTTGTCACAAGTAGAACATTCATTTATTTATTCAAATAAGAAAAAAAAGTGTGCTCAAAATATGAGGCTAGTTAAAGCAATATAAGGGAGGTAATTGAGAATTTGGTGTGCGAAGACTTTTTGGATGCAACTATAAAAAAAAATTTTTTACAGTACACTTTCAGGTTTTTGGGGTTGGCCAATCTCTCTTAAGAAATCCAAAATTTACTACATGAAAAATGTAAATTTTAAAATTTCCTTAGGGAAAACTTCCAGGAAAAAAAAAAAAAAAAAAAAGCACCAGTTAACTTTTTTTTTCTTTTTATATTCAACCACACCTTAAAAAAAAAGGGGGGGGGGTAGAACCCCAAAGAGCAAGCAATGAAAATTGATACTTTTTTTTTCCCTTTTAGCATCTATTTTCTTTTCCAGTAAGTAAGAATTTTGGAGTTAGTTTAGACGTGGCCTGCCTCTTGGCTGAAGACAGAGGTTAGTGTTCTAGCCCAGGTAGAAACCGGAGTATTCAATATTTATTTTCTAGACACGTCCTCAGATTGACGTAGCACTTTGACTTGTAAATTTTTGATAAATTGTTTCGGGAAGACAAAGTTCTTCATCACAAAATTTCCTTTTTAACAACTAATTTTTTTTATGATTGTAAAGAAAGACTGAACAAAAAAGTAAAAATTTTGTTCAACTCGCGTCGCCAATTAACTTTCATCTCAAAATTTATAAGACTTTAATTTAATTAACTTTAGTGCCCAAGATGCGTGACTGGATTTTTTTTACTGAAAAATTGGTGGGGGGATCCGCTTTTTGCCGCATGACTGTTCATGCGTTTTGACAAAATCTAAACAGGCTTTCCAGAATAGGTTAAAAAAAAAAAAAAAAAAAAAAAAAAGAGTAACCGTCGCGTGAGTAAATTTTTTTTTTTTTTTACTGAAATTTATTACAAGCTTTTTTTTAAAGCTCAGAAATCAAATTCAAAAGCATACAAATTCCAGATAAACTCAAAGCAAATCTCATCTGCTTTCATTTTCAAAGTTTTATAAAAAGTTGGGATCAATATCATTATGCCTACTTTGGACACAAAAGTTAAGAAAAATATTAAAAACTGTGTAAAGAGGAAACTTCACTGCGTATCAAGTTTGACGCTCAGGTGCTTCATACCGTGTGTACCACACTAAGCCCTGCTACGAAGATAGTGACGTACAAAAAAAAAAAAAAAAAAAAAAAAAAATTAAATTAAGAAAAAAAAAAAGAATTGAAAAACAAAAAGAAAAAAATAGGGATTTAAAAGTGAAATTAGGAAAATTAAAACGTCACTAATTCAGAGTGAGTTTTAAAGTTTAAAGTTAAAGTATAAAACTTTTTTGTAGTTATCAAATTTCTTTTCATGAAATGTCAAAGGAATTTCATTTCAATGTACGTGATGTGATAGGTAAATACTCTAGTCTCTAACGGAACAAAAAAATTAGTTTAAATTAATATAAAAATAAGAAAAATACAGTTAAAAAAAAAAAAAAAAAAAAAAAAGTAAGGACACCTCAATACAACAATGTTCTGAAATGAGAGAGAGTGAGAGAGAAGAAAAAATAAGTTTCCTCCGAGGGGTATGCTAAAAAAATTTTCAGTCCGACCTACTTAAAAAAAATTTTCTTCAAAGTACTTATTTTAGGAAGTAGGTCAAAACTTTTCAGCACCTCCAAGAATTATATCACGAAACAATTTTTTTTTAGCAAATTTTCTTAAAAGTCACTTTCTTTCTTTACAAATTATTTATGACCAAATAAACTTAAGCAGGAAACGTTTAGCTAAATTAACCACGGTATTTTCGCGTAATTAGGGGTTGGCTTATGAAAGTAATCTTTGAAATATTGAGGAGTCAGGCTTTGACATTTAAGAAATGTTTTGGGCTTAAAACGAGATGGTAAATCGCATTGCTTTAAGTATTAAAGTAACCTAATATGACACAAAATCGCCCCCCACCATTTTCCAAGATAAATGGTATCCAAATTGACATGAATTGGAGAAGGGAAGATTTAAAAATTAAGTGATTTTTAATCAGTACTACTGCACCTAGAAAAGTAAATGAAAAGAGGGGGGAAAGGTTTTAAAAATAAAGTGACATTTTAAAATTTAAGATGTAGCTTTCTCTTTAAATAAAATTCAAGATAAATTGTGTTGAATTTTTGATAAAGGATAAAGCATTGAAAATGTAAATCTTCTCAAAGTTTTTTTTGACTGCATACGGAAACAAATAAAGTGAAAGTGAGGAATTCGATCGATAAAACTTGTTGATTGATTATAAATAGAAATTTTAAAGAACTTCGAACTAAAATCGAAGTTATGCTCAGTTCACGTCATGAGTAATTTCTTTGAAATAAGAAAATTACAGTGACCGACTTTAAGAAAATGCTTTTTTTTAAATTTTTAGACAATTTAAATTAGTGAATTAAAAAGACATTGGTTCAGTCTCAGTTGGTTTCTGAGGAAAAAAAAAAAAAAAACTTTAAACTAAAAAAAAGTTTACTTTTTTTGTTGAGTGACGTGGTTAGGAAAAATTAAAATATTTATTTATTCCATTGATAAAAAACCAATTCCGACCTTAAGTTTTAAATACTTTTTTTGTCGATTCGAAATACTTTTGTTTTAGTTTTTAAAAAGGAAAAGTCCTCATCTAAGAAACTAAATGATTCATAAACAAATCGTGAAAAAAAAAAAAAAAAAAAATTTTTTTCAGTGAGGCAAGCATCATATTACGACAGAGTATGTTAAGATAAGGGAACGACCATGTGAATTTTGGGAGATAACCTTAAGTAGCAAAAATCCAAGAAACATTTTTTATACTGTGCTGAAGAACACACACATACACACTACTAAATAATTCCCTCATCTCTTAGAACTTGTCTAGAAGAGTGGTCCTATCGTTACAAACGAAATCATTTCATTTGACAAGAGTGATCCCAATTTTTATTTGACACAGGCAACAATTATTTCAATGTAAAATTAATGCGTGCTGATAAGTTTTATAATATAAATATTTTATTTTTTAAACTAAAAACGGTCCTATCTGTTCTCTTTACCTCTTAGTTTTTAGGCCGTTTGAAAACCGTCATAACTTTGTAACGAAAGCACTTCATTGAGTTGATCACAAGTACCAACATAAATGACAAACATTGAACAAACATTATAAAAATTATACAAGCAGGACTTACCCAAAGCTTCTACCAATTGCAACATAACACCACCTATATGGAGGTCACCTTTAACTCGTAAAGTTCTAACAACGTCAAAGTCCGTGACAGTTATGTTCAGCTGCCACGAACCGTCCACTACGCCCCCATCGGACATCATCTTGACAAACTGAACGTTTCCTTTCCTCAGATATTAATGATGATCGAGTAATGATTAGAATGGTCTGTCAAAGAGAAAGTGTAGCAGTCTTTTTTAAGCCTTCTCCCTGAAGGTAATTAAAAATAGATCTGAGAAAGCAGAAATAAAAAGTTGTAGAAATGTTTTCAAATGATTAAAATTCCGTACGATGATCTTCCTCGTGTTTGGTGAAGTCGAATAAATCCTGGTCGAAGAACCAACAGGTCGAGTTTTCTTCAAGGCTTTAATGTTTTGTGCTCGATCGGCCGGGAGAGTAGTAGTAATAGTAAAATGTGACGTTACATCAATAAACACAAGACATATGTCTCTTGTAAATGTGTAAGAAGAGGAGGAAGTTTTTGGGGGAGGGGAGAAAATTACAAGTATGTATAGAGGAAAAGAAAAACAATAAGGCACGTAAAAAACGGGTCTTGACGTCAAATATGGGTGGCTCTCATCGTCATTAATGCAGTATGCACGGCTCGCACTGCCCAAACTAAAGCTGGTAAAAACAAACGACAAACCTTTTACTTTGAACTAGATTTATAAATATATCCCGGAGATAGAAAATGTGTCACTTATTAATTACGTGCTGATATCAAACAACGGTACACTTTTTTGACGAATTTCTAAACGGGACGAAGTTGTACTTAAAAGTAATTAACACTCACAGTAGTTCTTTCGCAACGACAGTAAAACGCCTGACGTTTGCACTTTTTTTTCATTCAAGTAAATGAATGCTTGTATTATTCTTCTACTTGTTCCAATCTATACGCATGGATAGGCACAAAAGCATCCTGACTCAGATGGTAAGTCTTATGAAGTTATGTCCTGGGGAAATCATGATAATTAATAAAGCCGTTTCGTTCGTAATAAATCCTCATTACTCCGCGGGGAAAGAGTATTTTTTCCGCTTAGGTAAAAATGTAGTTTGTATTTGTTGTTACGTTAACAACTTGTTAGTCAAATATGTAAGAAAAGTGGACCCGATGAGGTTGTTGTGTAATGTTTTTAAACTAGTATTAGTGATATTCACGCACGTACAGAGTAGCGGAAATGGCCAACTTAGCAACAATGTCCGTATTAGGAAAGGAAGGACGACGGTAAGCTTTCCTCGAAGCGGCGCTCTGATTGGTCAATTGCCGTGAGGCGGGTTTGAATTCGACCGGAATTCCATTGGCATTGCTATATTTTGCCACTTCCTGTCCGATTGTCGACCTCGCTGGACACAGCAGTAACTGACCAGCAATTAAATAGATTATTAATAAAAAAAAAAAAAAAAAAAAAAATTTTTTAAATAATTAGTCTAACTCTTCTCATAATTATCGATATCATTAAGTAGTTGGAATATTGTACAACAACACTATAAAAACTTAGAACAAAAAAGTAACCTTTTCTTTTTAACATTAAGTTGTGAATTTCAAGTGTTTAAAAAAAATTAAATTTTCAGTGGCTCTCTATTTAAAAAAAAAAAGAAATTAACTTCTGATTTCTAAATAAATTCACAGACATACCTAAAATTCGCTAGCCAAGACGTACAAAAGTAAAAAAATAAATAAAACAAGTCAGAAAGTATAGATTTTTATTTTTTTATTTCAGTTAAAAAAATCTTGGTTAAATAGTCGAGAATAATCGGTCAGAGAAGGGAAAATTAACCACTTTTTTTTTTTTTTTTAAACTATTATTTTAAGCTTTGGTGGCCTTACCTAGTTGGATATAAAAATGTTTGTCTGTCTCTACTTTTGTTTACATTATCACTCTTGAAGTTGTCAGTCCTAAAAGAAAATAAAAATCTGTCACTTTGTCAGGTAACATTTGCTTACTTTCTCACTCAACAGAAATGTATGTTTATTTTTTTATATTTTTAGACTTTATTTGTATTTTATGGTGCAAAAAGGTTGAAGTGGTAGGCTAGCAACAGTTTAACGAACCTTAAATAAATTATATACGATCGGGTAAATTTGTGAAATTCATTGCAATTTGAAAAACAATAAACAAAGACTACAATACGTGCCAACGTTCTTTACTTTAAAATTTGAATTAAAAACAAAATTTAGAAAATTTAAAAAATTAAGTAAGATGTTATCAATGATTTCCCATCTGTGCAAATTTCTTTTCTTAAAAAATGTAATTTTCTATTTTCATTTTTGTTTCCATATGAGAACATTAACTGCCCATTTATTGATATGTATTGTATTGACCCAATCAATAAATGCAGATGCTGTCAGCGTAATTCTGTCTCTCACATGAAAACCACTTTAGGGTTTTTCTTTATTCATTGTTGACACAGGTTTAGTTTCTTTCTTTCAACAAAAAGATTTCTTTCTGGATTAGTAGTAGTTTTCAAATAGGATTAAGTTCAATGAAAATTTAAGATACTTTAACTTAAACTTACTGAAACATTTTTTTAGTAGATCTGGATTATGGGTTTCTTTCTTCTTTCCATGATTTTTTTTGTGGTTTAATTTAACTTTATTATCACACCTTGTTTTTTGTTACCTGCACATGTAACAGAAATCAAGGTGTGATAATTTTCAATAATTAATTTGTATTTTATAAATGTTTCTTTAATCGTTTTTTTGTGAAAGTGAGTTGATTTTAATTACCAAATAAAAAGGTATTTTATTTTCACGGAAAGAGATTTTTAAACTAGAATTTCAATATTTTTTAATTTATTTAATTCAGAAGTTGAACAGTAAATCAACAAACAAAAAACATTTCTACTGCATAAAAAAGTTTAACGAACAGAAGGCAGAGTTTGTTTATTAAATTTTCTAATGCCAGCTTTGTCAGCAGAGATATTAATTAATTATTTATTTATGTAAGTCAATGTTTTTTCAATAAAAAAAAAAAATAATAATAATAAATTATAATAATAACAACAACAACCAACTGATGTTGGTAAAGATAAAAAGGTGAATTAATGAACATATTATAATTTTTATATATTTGTTGAGCAGTGTATCATGTGAGTTTTCAGTTTATTGAGCCTAAAAGTAAAACATTGATCTTGTTCGTGGGGGATATCGGGTTTGATGCAAACAAAGGGGAAAATATTTTATAAGATAAAAATAAAAAAAATAAATCCATAGAAACATATATTTGATTATACATATCAATAAAGTTATAGCATAATGACGCCTTAACAACTGATTCTATAACCATTTTTAGTCCTTTTTTTTCTTAGATTTCTTAAATTTTTAACTGTTTCGACTTGAACATTATTTGCAGCCGTTTCTATTTCTTCCTAGTTTGTATATATCTTTACTTGAATATTGTTTTTCATCTTCAATGATAGATCATAAGATTTACTTTTACTGATATTTCATCCAATACAAAGCGCAAGAGCCACTCAAGGTAGAGGGTTACTTAGATTGTAAGTGAAGGGAAAGTAAGAAAGTATTACGAGGACAAGATATCAGTTGACAATGGACTTAACGAGACCAAGATTGTAGTTGTCTGGAAAACCCTCTCTCGAGTGTTTGTTCCACAGAGTAATAGTTGATGGGGAAGAGGCTGTCTGAGTTGACCTTTTTATCAAAGGAACATGAAGGAAATGTAGATGGTTTGCCATGGTGAATATGTAAATTAAAAATATATATCCTGAACATTTCACCAATATCAATCAATCAATGCCAATTTTATTGTGAAAGTATTCACCTGCATAATAAAATTTAACATTGTGTGTATTAATTGGATCATTTAGGATGTGGTCAAGATGTAGGTGATTATGGCTCTTCACAACTTCCTATCCTTTGTAGCAATTTTTGTCACTTGGCTATCCCTTCCAGTCTCAGTTCTGCTATCCGTTTATACATGCTCGTTAGATAGATGGTTACTTAACATTTCACTTGCATTCAGTACGTCTAATGATAAGCCTGAGTTGTTTTGTTTTTACTATGTCCATTCAGGATTTCTTCTGTTCTTTTCTTTTTATCAAGTTTATTTATTTTTGCATTTTGCACCAAAGGTTTCTAGTGTTTATCACAGGGGATCAAGTGACAGCAAAAGCTTTCCTCACCATTATTATCAATCCCAAGACTGACTGAGTCAGAACAATCTCAAGTCTTTCTTAATCTTTTATTCCTTCAGCTTCATTTCTCACTCCTTTGGAATGGTTCTGAGAATCCTATTTTTTAGAGTGATTCAAAATAAAAATTGGAGGCAGAAACAAGTTTTTGAAGCCATCTTCAGAATATAGTGGCTACCATTTTTTTTAAAAAGAGATTAATCCTTTGAATATGTTTTCAGACATTTGTTCCCTATTTATGCATTTTTAAGGATCTGCCAGGTGAAAAAGAGCCAAGAAAGAGGTCAGTTTTAAAGAAAAAAAATGACCTTTTTTGGTTATTATATCACTGTTATAAATATTATTAACATGGTTCTGGGTAAAATATTAATCCAAACAAGAAGAGGTATAATACAGACAAACCTCTCATCTATGGACCCCCACTCCCATTAACAGACTTCGGATGCAACAGATAAAATCCTCAGGCAAAATAAAAAGAAAAAAGTTATGCAGGAAAAAATACTTCCAAATAGTCAACAATGTATTTCAAAGTATTAATTCTCAAAGTGACTATTTGGCGGTGGTGGCTGGCCTTTCAATTGTACAGCTTATGAAGTACGATACATTAGTAAATGCGTGAGAAAGTAGCTGTGAGAAATCTATTATTTTAGTCATTAAGTATATACTTATTTATGTCATATATACATGTTTATAGTATTTACATTATGATCATAACTACTGATAGTTACTATAGTGGTTTTATAACTCAAAAATAATCCCTTCCCATCTATGGCCAATCAGCTTTAATGGACCATTCATCTCCTCTATTAGTTTGCTGATGAGAGGTTTGTATGTATTTCTAATGGCCAAGGAAATGGTGGTGGTAGTAGTGGTGATAATTCAATGAACAAGGATGACCACTATTTAGATTCCTGCAACTCTATATTCTCTAAAAGTAATTAATTCTATT